TTTGATTTTTATTCTGTATGTTTGTCACTGAAGTCTTCTACCTCCTCTTCCCTGACTCTGGTGTATTAAAGAATTGGAGATGAAATAGTTTAGTTCTGTTTCCCCTTTCTCCTCTGTCCACCAGCTACCTCCCCTGTATTAAAACTATTTTAAACTAAACTTCCTTCTTTAAAAAGAGTTAAGAGGACTTGTGGCAATTTCTGTAGGTATCATAGAATGCAATTCAGATACATAAATATAAATGTCTGGTGGTATTTTTAGCGTCCTACCACACACCACATGGTCTTTAGTCATCCTTCTAGAAGAGCAGAAATTTCCTCTAACGTTGTCATATCTATGTGCCATGTATGGACATCTGGTTACTTCATGGGCACTCAGTGTCATGGACGTTTCCCTGTTTAAGCATTTGAGTTGCTCTCACTGTGGTTATCTCTAAGGACGTGTGTTGATAGAAGAGTTGTGTATTAGAGTGATTTTAATGAGCAGTACAACTTGGTGATAAAAATGTCTACGGGGCAGTGATCTTCAAGAATAAAGGTTCATTAGAAAAGCCAGTTTGGTCAATACATTAGCAGAAATAGTATAGGCAATTAAAGCCATTTATGGCATATTTCTATTTATAGTATCTTGCAAAATCTTGTCACCAGATCTTCCTAACTAAACTTGCAGAGTATTCTTTCTCTTTAGCATTGTGATGGAAGAATAGTGGAAGCTATTTAAAATACGTCCTCAAATGAGCAGATGAACAAAGGTTTTAGTGGGAGTATTGTCATACTTCTTTGCATTGGCAGTGTTGTCTTACACAGCTGATAAATGTTTTGCTTTTCTCAGCTTTCCCTCGCTTCCCTTCCACTAGGATTAAAGTGTCTGGTTTGTTAGAAGTCTTCCTACTGTTTCCAGCTTGCTCAACCTATACCTTCCATCTGCCTTCAAGTTGAATCCTTGATTAAGTACCTATTACCCCAGAATCACATATGGTTTGGGTTGGAAGGGACTTTTAAGACCATCTAGTTCCAACTCCCTGCTATAGGCAGGGACACCTCCCCCTAAACCAGGTTGCTCACAGCCCCATCCAGTGGTCACACTTCTCTTGATGCATCCCAGAGGACACTGTTGGTCTTCTGGGCTGCAAGCACACATTGCCGGATCATGGTGAGTCTTTCATCAACCAACACTCCCAAATCCTTCTCCTCAGTGCTGCTCTCAAGCCGTTCTCTGTTCAATCTGTGTCTCTGCTTGGGGTTGCCCTGATCCAGGTGTAGGACCTTGCACTTGGCCTCGTTGAACTCCATGAGGTTGGCACGGGCCCACCTCTCAAGCATGTCTGGGTCCCTCTGCATGGCATCCTTTCCCTCGAGTGTATCAACTGCACCACTCAGCTTGGTGTCATCTGCATCTGCAAAACTACAACTCGTGGTGTTCTGTGTTTGGTGTTCTGAGACATTCAAAAACAGAGTTTAGTACCAGTGCCAATACACTGTAGTGCCTTGTGGCATCTTTGTATTGGCAAACAGCAGGTCCTTTGGCTGCTACAGTTTTTAAGAACTGTGCATTAAAACCAGCACATGCATTTCTATGATTGCAAGGATATTAATGTGAATAATAATAAAAAAAACCAAATATACTACCTGAATTTACACACCCTTACAGGCTGTTTGTTTTTAATTCTTCTCTGTCCTGCTTTGTAAGTCAGTGGTTGCTGAAAATTGATGGCAATGATGAACCGGACAATCCTTACCAGTTAGAGGGGATTGCAAATAACTATTTGATACAGAGAATTATCCTCTTATTTTGCATCTTGGTAGGGCCCCTGAGTTTTCTGTCCCTCACTTCTCTCCTCACACTTCTATCCACAGACCTTGAGGTCTGGGAAAAAAAACCACAAAACATGTTCTTAGGGATGTTCTAATGATCTGAAACCACTGCTGAGTTTCAGCTTTAAGCGCATAGGGTGATTTCTTCCATGTTTTTTTTTTTTGAGACAGGATTTTATGAACAAGCAGTACGCTGAAAAACAACGGCCAAGTGTTGTAACACTCTCAGGAATCTGAGATGCCTCTATCCAAGTTCATCAGAGATAAGCGGTGAGTGCTCGGGCCTGAGGTCAGCTGCTTCAGTCTGTAGGATCTCTTAGAAATGTAATGAAGGCACACTGATGGCAGGCTCCCAGCACAAGACAGGCATGGAGCTGTGCGGTCCCAGAGGTGACCACAGGGCTGGAGCACCTCTGCTAAAAGACAGATTGAGGGAGATGAGCTTGTTCAGCTTGGAGAAAAGAAAGCTCTGGGGAGACCTCATTGTGGTCTTTCGAGGCTTAATAAAAAAAGACGGAGACAAACTTTGTACATATTCTGATGGTGACACAACAAGGGACGAAGCTTTAAACTAAAATCTCTGTTAAATGTAACGGTGCTTTCTTTTTTCATTAGCCTGACTTGTAATGCCAGTGGCCCTAAGCCACATCCTGCACCGTGATAAAGCCAAACTTACAGTTCCTTCCTCCAAAAATGGAGCTCTGCAGCAGTGAGTAGTTGCTGAGGAGGTTCTAAAACCACAGTCATTTTGGAAATACAAAAATAAAATACGTATCTTGGGGGAACTCTGGTTGAGCTTTGGTGCAGGTTTTGATGCTAAGCTGGGGAAGTTTTTGTGCAGCAGAGAAAGGTCCTTTTCATCACAGAAACCTGGCTGGTTTGAGCTGGGGTGTGGGAGGAGGACAAAGTATTTGCTACACAAGTTTTGTGAACTCTTTTGTGGGAAAGGGGTGGGAATGGTGAGAGGCAGCAAGGCCACGTAGCTATGGGGAATCCTGGGTGGTGGATGCCTGAGGCATCCTTCTGCAGCTGAAAACGGAAGAGTAGCAGGGCCAAAATGGTATGCCGACATCAGGGAAGGTAGGTGGAGCATACTGAATAGAACTTTCTGCTTCCTCAGAAGTTACGGGTAAGAGAGCTTGGTACTGAAGCAGAAAAAGGGCTTCACCAGTCACCCAGATGTGAGGATAGCTGGTGTGCATCTAGAGGAGGTAGGTGACTTCTGCATGAGTGGCCTTTGCTGAGGTTGCTCTCTGGGGAGGGATACCAAAGCACTAACAATAATTTAGGTATGTGTATATTGGTATGTTCTTCCTGCTGGAGTCGACTCAGCATTTTTGCTTGAAGCTACGAGGGTGAAGAGGCAGGTGCAAACCACAGATGGTTGGTGTACAAAGTGGTACTGTTTGCACTATGGATGCTGCTGGGATGATGTTGAAAGGAAGAGGAGAGTACAGTCAGCCTTTAACTGGGCTGCAAGCTGAGTAGGTGGTATAAGGGTAGTGAGGGGAAAGCAAGACCAAAACTGATGAAACCATTTCTGAATGGAATCAAAACCCTCAAATAGGAGCTTGAAGAGAGGAGAGGAATCATGTTGTTTTGGTAATAACTTTACTCACTGAAAGAAAACACATGTTGAAAGAGTGAGGCCTTGTCTAATTGCATGGCTGAGCACTTTTAACTCCTAATGTGTTTAAAAAGGCACAGCCACCTGAAGTGGACAGTTAAAGACTGGTAATTCCTGAGCTCATAAGGGAATGGGGGAAGCACTACAGCTAAGTGCATGCTGTACATGAGACAGATACACAGAAACTGATGGCTGATGTGGAGGAAATGGGCAGAAAGAAGTGAAAAACAGCTGAGACATGAGGACTGGAAGCAATAGGAGGAGGCTGGTGAGAAGAAAGGTGAGGGATTAGATCCATTATTGTGCATTTCTCCTGTGTTACAATTAATAATTTGGGCACTCTTGAGGTGATGAGAATAATACTAAAAGCACATTCTTCTCAATTTATGTGTGTCTTTCCAATTTCTGTCTCTCTAAATTAGAGTAGAAAATACAGTGAATAGGGTGTGATGCAGCATCTTCAGTGGAAAAATTTGTTGGTTTTCCTTTTTTTTTCTTTCACTGGGTAACAAGGTATAATTTTAGGGCAGAATAGTTCATAATAAAGGAAGTGGTGTTTGCAGTTCATTGAAATTCACGCTACACCCACTGTACTTAGCAATATGCTTTGCTCTAAGTTACACTTGAGCCATGTCTGTGGTGGCTGTGTGATAGCATGAGGTTCAGTGAACTTTAAGTGTTGCATCCATTTAAAAAGGTAAAAGATAGGAGGTTGAGGGAAGTGGGTCAGTTCTAATGGAGTCTGTGGAATGCTCCTAACTAGAAAGGCAATCAACGTATTGTTCTTGAAAGCATTTTAGAACTGTGGTGTTCACCCGGCTGTTCTGTGTTTCCTTGCCTACCTACAGCTGTGAGCCCAGGCTCTTACAAGGACAGGGGATAAAAGTGTGTCTTCACTGGATATTAAATAACTGTGAAAAAATAAATACACATAAATTGTAAAGAGTTCTGAACTGTTTAAACTCCAGCACCATCCAACAAACAATGTCTTAACCCGGGCGACCGTGATACGTGCTTTTCCTGAACAAAGCTGCTCTACTGCTCCATCTTGTGTTACTGGGCACCACTACATGTAAGGGCTGGTCCTCGTTCTACCCAGCTTCAATGAGGACCTGACCTAGTCCTGCTGAGCCTGGAGCTGTTGACATAACACACCTACCAAAGGGCCTTTTGCCACAGAACACAGTAGTCAATTTGATATGCTTCTGCATTAAACGCAGTTAATAATAAACTGCGTTTCTAGGCACGGTAGAACTCTTTTTATATTGAATAGGTTCCAGATCAGTGACTTGTTTTAGGCAATACTAAAAAAAGAATAAAAATAGGGACCTTCCCACCATTTTCCAATTACTCTTTAGTGCAGAAGTGTAGATAAAGAAAGGTGACACTCAAACCAAATTGTAAAAAAGTGATCTTGCAGTCATTCTTTATGTTGAGTAATGCAATTGGCATCTCTTATTCTAGCAGCAATTTTTCAAGTCACTGCAATGATTGGTCCTGGTAAATCAGAATCTGTCTGATAGAAGATCACAACACAGAAAAAGTTAAGAGTTTCCAAATGGTGTAACTGTGTGAGGTAACTTTATTTTCATAGAGTATCTGAGTTACTTTGTCCAAAGTACTAAATGAAACGTGTTTTACTCCCTGTTTCACTGCCTTCTATAGAAATGAGACGTGCGTAGCTGATCATGGAGAGGCTGTTAGTAAGTGGCTGCTTCAGCCCTGCTGCGCGAGTCCTCATTCACAAGTCCCAGAGCTGGGCATTAGAAATGCAGTGCTGCTCAGCACCAACACCTCCAGATGTGCAGGCTCTGTCCCTTGGGGCAGATGTTGGCATGTTGAGCCACCAGGTGGCTGTCTCTTCTTTGCAGTGTCTGCATTTGTCCTTGCCCAGTCTCTCTTGGTGAACTCCCACATCATGCTGCTGATACAATACACATTGAATCAAATATTTTTTACAAGTCTTTTTTAAAAAGTGCATATTGAAAGTACAATCAACATCTTTATATAATACAGAAGATTAAATTTACAAATATGAAATTACTACTGAATACTGAATAAGACTATGAGTCTTATTTAGAATTTCACTCTTTGTATCAGTCAATCTGATCAAGTGCAAGTAAAAAGTTATTTGCATGTTTGTTTTTTTTTTCTCCCTGTGAAGCTTTCTTTGTATGTTTGCAAATATGACTAATTTAAACAGCAAAATATTTACAGGCTGGCAGTCCATGTGCTGATGTAAGGTTCTTGAGTTGCAAGCAGCAGTGGTGTCCATGTATTGTCCAAGGTTCTTGAGTTGCAAGCAGCAGTGGTGGTTTCTCATCTCTCTAGTTCTGCTTCCAGGATTTCTCCCCATGTGTCAACATCCATCGGATACATGCTTTTCTCTGGCAAGTTGTTTTGTGAGTGAACGTTACTGTATTTCCCACTGAGCCAATCTTGTTTTACTTTGCTTTTCCAGTAGTTTCTTAGTAATGTGATCTGATGGAAAAACAGACAGCTAAAATCTTGGAAGTAAACGGAATTAAGCTGCATTCAATACAGATAAGTTTTTTGCACTGGAAGAGTTAGTGCCAGAAAAAGGATTTGGAATGTGTCTTTGATACCTGAATGCCAAGCCCAAAATCGGGTCTACTTCCGTCTTTTATAAATTCAGTTGAGGATCATTTCTTGCCTCAGTTCTTAGAGGTTGAAAATGATGGGGAAATGAAAACCCTAAACAAGAATTCATCTTCCTCCTTATTAAAAAAAAAAAAAAAAAAAAAAAAAAAGCCTTTCACTTTCTCTTCCTGTTTAGGTTTTTTATGACCTTTAAGTCTGGCTCATGCTCGTAACACAGGCTGGTTGTATTCTTCTATTCAACCAACCTTTTAGTGCATGAAATGCTTGCTTCGTCTATTTGTTGCTCGTTCCCCCTCTAAAATAGAAACAAAATAGAGATCTGGTGCAGAGAGATTTGTAAACTGTTGTGCAAGAGCTGAAAGATGGCTACATTTGGAGGTCAACACCTTCCTGCTTAAGGCAGGGAGTGCGAGTCTGGAATTCTTTTAATTACTATTTTTTATATTTTGCTTGCTCTCTTTTCACACCTCACTGTTTGCAAATGCACCAGCTCAGGTAGGGTGGGGATCACCCTCTAGCAAGGTCAGAAGAATAACTGTGAAACCATTCCTTTCCTGATCTGCTTCAGTTTGGAGGCTGGACTCAATACTGTTCAGCACATCTAGCTGCTCTCTCTTCAGTGCAGCCAGAACCTGGAATGTATCTATGTGTGTGTAGGCTGTTGCAAAACAGCATCTGCAAGCTCCTGTGAGCTCCTTCTTTCTTTTTGCTTACCCCATGTTCTTCCTCCTGGATGCATGTTGCTCATGTATTGAGATAAAGCTATCTGGAATTTTTTCTTCACAGGCAGCATCATTCCAGTGAAGCACAACAAGAGCTCATACACCATCAGACAGACAGGCTATGCTATTTGGCCACCTGGGTGCTGGGCTGGCTCACATTCAGCCAGCTAACGGCCCCACAGCCTTCACCTCAATCCAGCTTTCCAGCCACTTTGCTTTGGTGATCTTGGGACTAACTAGAAATCAAAGAGCAAGCAAAGGAGGTTCTGTGTAGGAAAGAAGATATCGGAAGTAGAAAAATGATACAGATGTTTCTATAGGGGATGTGTTTGTGTGTATTTAATTGGATTCCTAGTTTGGTTTCGCTGCTGAGCCATGCTGGCATTACAGTGGTTCTCCAAGCATCTGGCATTAGCCTTGGACAGATGAGAAACACAGATTTATGTAATCTATTTGCGTATTTCTGCCACGAACCCCAAGAAGCTTCAAAGCTGCCACCACCGTCACTCACGTTCCATTTACCTTCCACGAATATCCACTTCCCCTGTCGCCATCGATCTCCCGCTGGCAGACAGCCCTCACCGTTAAGCAGTGGTTTTTCCACAGCCAGTCGTTGCCGTCAATGGCGAGCCGCCAGCGCCTGCACGTCATGGCAGCGCTGCACAGGCTGCGGGGGTCGAGGGAGCTGAAGATCCGCACGCTGACTTCGGGAGGCAGGAGCGCCACAAAGTCGGCTGGAGCTCCTCTCCTCTTCTTGTCGGGAGGGAGAAGCGTCGGTTCGCCACAAGTCAGCGACTGCTTGTTTCTCTTGGCTGTCTTCTGCATCATTCAGAGCTCTCGCCGAGTCAGGTCGGCAAGCCTGAGTGAGGAAAGCGCGACAGTTAACGAGCATCCCACGTTACTGTCGCCTGTGTGGAGTTATGGATGCCGCCCCGGTCGCACGGCAGTGCCATCAGCTGAGCCTCACTGCTGTCTCCTTCCACACCCTTTCAGCCCGCGGCCGCCGCAAGCCGGCCCTGAGTCGAGCACAGGTGCGCTGCGGCGCGGCGCTGACTGGACCGCCCGTTCCCGCCAAGCCGCTGACGGCCGCAGCTCGACCGTTGCCGCCGCGCGCCCCCGTACCCGTCCGCCTTTGGAAGCGCTCCGCCATCAGCGCCGCGCCTTGTTGACAAACAGGGCGACCTCCGCGGCGCATCGCGCGTGCGCGCGGCCCTTGTCGCGAGCCGTGCCGGGACTCGTAGTTCTCCCAGCCGCGCGTCAGATAGTGGCGAGTCTCGGCGGCGGCAGCGGCGGACTACAATTTCCGGGCTCGTGCTGCCGCGCCGGGCGGAGCCGGGAGGGATTTAAACACCAACAGCAGCCGCGCCCTCTCGGTGTGCGGCTGGGGCGGGGCGACGTGAGGGAGGTGAGCTCGGCATGGCGGGCGTGCGGCTGGCCCCGTGTGATGGGGGCTGTCCCGTAGCGCTGCCGCCCGGGGAGACTCTGCTGGGACGCGGCCCTTTGCTGGGTGTAAGTGCGGACGGGGCGCGGCCGGGCCGTGAGCTGAGTGCTGTGCTGAGCCGAACTGCCTGCAGTCGTCGTTTAGTGATGTGGGGTGGAAATGGGTTCGGTGGTGCGGAAGCGATGGCAGCGATGCCGTAAATCAGTTGATTAGGAAGCTCTAGGACTTAAGGTGTCGTGTTAGAAAGCAGGCTTTCTTTATTATCCGTGCTGGGTGCGTGGGGGCTGAGCTCCTCCTGTCGTGCACGCCTCGCACGGAAGATCTCCAGTTTATACACATCATACACGGGTTTTCCTGGTGATTTTGTATTCAGTGTTACCTGTTCAGTCACTGATTCCAAGGAGAACACGGAGGCACTGTAGAACATCCTTATTTACTTGGTCCGGAGTCACAGCTCTCTGTTATCTCAACAAACTGCAGGGCTGTCAACCAGAGAGCTTAACGGAGTCTTTACAACTTCTATCAGAACTGTCGTCTATAAGGACTGTTCCTGCCACGTGCTGAATGGGGTGGGAGTGGTGGGGGATTTGCAGTGTTCCTGCAAACACAGATCATCATAGAATGGCCTGGGTTGAAAAGGACCACGATGATCATCTGGTTTCGACCCCCAGCTGTGTGCAGAGTCACCAGCCACCAGACCAGGCAGCCCAGGGCCATGTCCAGCCTGGAAGATGTCTTTGCAGCAATGCAAGAGGTGCATTCCAGCAACTCCTGTCCTGAAAGCAGAGTGTTACTGTACTGTTATTTCTCATTTTCTTCTGAAGCAAACTTTTTCTTCCCTGGTCAGAGTGTTTTTTGTGCTGACAGTGATGCTGACATCCCATAGCACATACTGGTAGCTATTTAAAGCCTGTACGCTTCTCGTGTTTCTCTTTGTTGTGAGATGTCAACAGTGTCTTCAGCCACTTATGCCTACTGCATGATCGTGCAGTCATACAATGGTTGAGCTTGGAAGAGACCTTAAAGCCTGCCTGGTTCCAACCCCTGCCATGGGCTGGCTGCCCCCCTACAAGTTCAGGCTGCCCAGGGCCCATCCAACCTGGCCTTGGGCACCTCCAGGGTTAGGGCACCCACAGCTCTGTGGGCAGTAATGGTGCTTAGCAGTGAATAGAACAGTATTTAGACACCCTGCCCCATCCTGTGTAAGTGAATTAATTAATGTAAGGATGAACTATTCATTAAAAAAAAATAATAATAATAAAAACAAAACAGAAAAAATCTACCTGGAGTTTCAGTATGTGCTTGTGAGAAGTATTTAGTCTCTGGAGCATCTGGACTGAGGCTTTTAAAACCAGATCCGAGCAGCTGAGTAAGTGGTCTACAGAGCAGCAGATTTGCAAGCGCTCAAGTGAGAGCTTGCTAAGATGTGCTGGATTCCTTAGGCTTCTGATTCTGAAAATTGGATCTTAAATATATGGATCTCACATCGCTTTTTTATCTCCTTTTCAGATTACTGATAAGCGAATATCTCGAAAACATGCCATATTGGAAGTGGTGGGTGGCCAGGTTCGCATCAAACCGGTAACTTCAGTCTCTTTATTTACACCTGTAAAGCCAAAATACAGCTGCTGCAGTTTATTTTAGGTTTTCTTATGATGTTACACTTGTGATTTGAGAACAGCGTTCAGTTTTCCTTGCTCTCATTTCATAACCTTTGCTTTCACATTCAGTGTCATTCTAACTTCAGGTAATATTACTAATGTTTTCATATAGAACAGTGATTGGGTGAATCAAATAAAACACTGCAGAGGTTTTTTATGTTACTTTATAGTCCTGCTTTTGCTTTTGAGACAGAGATGCATTCCCTTTACTGATTTTTCCCCTGATTCTTCTCCAAAAAAAAATCTCTGAATTTACAACCTTTGCTCTTCAGCAAATCATAGAATGATAGAATGGCCTGGCTCAAAAGGGACCACAGTAATCATCCAGTTTCAACCCCCCTGCTATGTGCAGAGTCACCAACCACTAGACCAGGCTGCCCAAATAAGTCTTTTTTTCTTCTTTTCCAAATAAACCCATTTGTTGTTAGAGGGAAGTTTTAAACTTACTCAAACGCTTGGCTTTCTAAAAATTGGAGGTGTTTTTGCAGTAATTAACTCATCAAGTGTTCATATAGTTACAGTGAATTGGAGCTTGTGCATAGGCTATGCTAAAACATTTAAGATATGTGTGGATGCTGCTGTTTCTGTTAGAACAGAGTTGTGACTGTTTTGCTCACCAGTGCTGTGAGGGCCAAGAGGAGCTGCTCTGGTACCCCAGGTTTATTTGCGCTGGTATCTCTCAGTTTCAGGCTTCATTATTTCAAAGACTTGGCTGAGTGTTGTAGGAGTTGCGTGCCAATGGCATTTGTATCCTAGTTCTTCAGTCCACATGCTGCTAACTCTGCAAATGTGAGCTGTGGCCCTCGTTTCTAGGTCTGGAAACCTGCTAAGGCCACGTTTACTTGTATTTTCCCCACTAGTTTTGAAGTTTACCTTCCCACCAGTTCACACTTAGTTTTGTTTCACATTGTTTTTTTAATTTTGTTTTTTTGGGTTGTTTTTGGTTTTTTTTTTTTTTTTGGTTTTTTTTTTTTGTTTTTGTTTGTTTTATTTTTTAGAATCCAATTGGATTGAAATGTTAAATATCAATTTTAGATATTAAAATAGCAAACCACCTTTTCACTAACTAGTTCAGTTAATTGTGCTATCTTGTGTATATGCCTATTTTGTCTTTAATGTTTCGCTATTGCAGCTTTGCTGTAGCTGTTCCTATGGCGAATCTGCTTTGTATGATAGAGCTTGGTGTGTTACCCAGCCATGTTATGTACGTGTGTGCTTTTTTAATGCTGGCTGTTCTTTCTATCTCACAGATTCATGTAGATTCATGCTTTTATCAGTCTCCTGAGAACGGCCGTCTGCTACCATTGGAAGCTCATGAATGGCACTCATTGAAATTTGGTGATAGCTTTTCCCTGATGGTTGACAAATACATCTTCAAGGTCCTTTCTGCTCAACCTGTGGAGAGTGCAGACAGGTATCAATATCTGCCAATTATGATCCTGTTCTCAGCGACAGCTTTTTTTTTTAACCATTAAATAGAGTCTTTTTCACATAGGGGCCCAACAGGTGATGCCCAGAAACCACTAAGTCTAGGAGGTGTCTATGACAAGTGGTCTCAATTCTGGGAATATGGTGTTCTGTATTCTATGTGCTTCAGTGTTATTTAGTTTAATCCTCTTCTTGGAGAGTGTTAACAGCATTGAGTGAAAGCAGTGGTTTGATATTGCTTGAATGTAAATTTACGTACTCCAATAACTATATCTGTGCTCATCTGGTATTATGCTTCACCTATGTAATGATAAGTAACCTTTTCTATCACATTAGTTTGAAATGATGTTAATTACTTGCCTGAAGGAAGAAGTCTTAAGTACCACTGCCAAATGCTGAGTGCCTTCCATGGTCATCCCCATATCCACGTTACGTGATTCCGCCATAACTGAAAGTAACTACATTCATGACATTTTGACTTGGTATTAGCTTATCATGAGTACTATTTTCTAACATTTGGAGAGGAAAAATAAAAAGAAATAGTGTCAGAAGCATAGTTCTCATTTTGATATTCATCAGATTTGTTTGCTTGCACACTCATTAGAATATTTGATTTATTAGGTTGTGTTATTAGATTGTAGTATTAGAGTTGAGAACTGGTTAAACTTTTCTTTAAATGAAACTTAAGCAACATCCACATCACTGAAAGCTGTTAACTTCAGGAAAAAAAAATGGTTTGCTGTGTTCTAATATTTGACCAATGGCAAATATCCTCAATGCAGCATGATATTTACATCAAAAAAACTCAAGTCACTAAGTCTAGAAAGTCAAATACATGTTTTGAGTTCAGAGGTGACAGTGAGAAGTGAATGAACGTAATTTGAATAAAAATTGTGTTGTTTCTTATGTAGAAACATGGCAACTTACATTTGGGAGGGAGCTAATACTGTAAACAATTCAAGAATGGATTTAGAGCGCAGCAAATTGCAAGCAATGACTTCAAGTTTTGTTGTGGCAATGGCTATTATGTATAATGAACTTAAAAAAAGCTAAAGCACTACAGCAGGGATCAGTAATTATTGGAAAATCACTGGTTCAAAATTCAGCAGAAGGTAGAAAGACATCTTTATTTCCTCTAAAAATTGATGTAAGAGCGCGTTAGGTTCACTTTGTAAGTTTAATAGCAGAAGTTCAGATTGGCTTCTGTGTAAAAGAAGTGCATGTTCATATTCATGGTGGGTTTGACTACTTCAGAATGATTTTCTTTCCTCAGGAATAATGAAGATGCAGAAGCAGCAGTAAGTGTTTGCCCTGTTAAGATGTCTCACAGTCCATTGTTACCTGAACCAGCATGTTCCACCTCTGAGATGCAAGGTAGCACAGAAATAAGAAGCAATGACTCTACTTCCACACATCTGGTGAGTGCTTAATTTTTTACAGGAAAGTGTGGTATGTGTAAGGATGTGTGTCTTTCTGCTTGTCTTCTTGAGAAGCCAGCTCGG